TCCTGGCAGTGCTCGAGGAACCAGATGTGATGCTGGGGATCAAACCTAGGTCAGCTGCATGCAAGGAAAAGGCCTCTAAAGGCCATGGGTTTTTTTTGTTTTGTTTTGTTTTGTTGTTGTTGTTTTTTAAAGCAGGAAAAAGCCTTAAGGAAACAAAAACGCAAGACAATAATAAGGATGGTATTGTCGATGTCAGGACAAAGGAAGCAAATTCTATTACCAGGTTTTATAAACAATCAGAAAGCAAATGAAATTAAAACGAGGCTGGTAATAAAATCAAATGAATAGAAACAGAATTTAGAATATAATAATGGTATAAAAGACTTTCCAATAAAGTTAGACTTTTAAATATCAATGAAGGATTGTTCAAAATAAAGAACAACAGGTTTTGGAGAAAAATGAGTAATCCCTGTCTTATATCATATACCATAGTAGTTGCAGCTGACTTAAACTTAGTACTGTAGCACTGTCCTCGTGTTGTTCATCGATTTGCTTGAGTGGGCACCAGTAACGTCTGCATTGTGAGACTTGTTACTGGTTTTAGCGTATTGAATACACCACGGGGAGTTTGCCAGGCTTTGCTGTGTGGGTGGGATACTCTCGGTAGCTTGCCGGGCTCTCTGAGAGAGATGAAGGAATCGAACCAAAAAATTAAAAAAAAATTGAGAAGTAAATATAAATATTTAACTCAAAAGAAATACCTTCAAGTACTTTTTTTTTTTTGCTTTGCTTTTTGGGTCACACCCAGAGATGCTCAGAGGTAACTCCTGGCTCTGTACCCAGGAATTACTCCTGGAGGTGCTTGAGGGACCATATGGGATGCCGGGGATTGAACCCAGGTTGGCCGCGTGCAAAGCAAACGCCCTACCCGCTGTACTATTTCTCCAGCCCCCTCAAGTACATTACTTTTATGCTAATAAGAACCCATCCCTATATTTTTAAAATGCAGGACAAATAACAAGATGAGGATTATTTAAAAAAAATTAAAATCATTCAGAAAAAGACAAACAGTTCCACCTATACTGGCAAGAAACATGATTAGGTCACATACATACATACACACTTTCAAATTCAAGCATTCATTAAACACATTAAAAAGAAAACCAACTCATTATCACTAAAGAGAAACAGATGAAAATAACTATATAATAACTGGAGTGTGAATTTAATGCCTGTAAATACACTTAGCTCAATTATACCTTTAAAGTGTCCTTTAATTGCCCTAAGCCTTAGACTTGTTTATGGCTTTTTGAGATTTCGATTAAGGAAATAAAATGGATGTAAATAAAATAGATTTCTGCCCCAAGTGTCGGGGAAAGGCACAGCAATCAAATTGTTCAGGAGATTAGCCCAACCCAGCTACTTAGCTGACCAAGAGTAATGATATAAATAAACTTATCTACCTTTAGAGCTTTCTAGGGACCCAAAGAAATAATCTGGGTGCCTGGACTATGTTAAGTCTTTAGTAATTACTAGATACTGACAGCTAGAATGCTGGCATTTGCCTCAATGCAACCACAGGTTCAAAATCTTTCTGAAATACTTGTAATCAAATATGCTTCAGAATGAAGCACATTTATTAAAAGGCGTAGTTTTCCAGACAGGTCAAGAATAGTATCTGGTAATCAGTTATATAACTATTCCTATAGTAAACTATATAAATTATATTCATTCCAAGTGAGATAACCTTAGCTCAGGTCAGATTCTGTAACCAAATATTAAGGGCGGGTTGGGGGAATTGGGAAAAAAAATCCTTATTTTTGAGTTCTATGGACTTCAGAAGACATCATAAGATACTCCTTACCCATTTTCCATAATTACCACACCAGATTTGATGGGGTTCAGACAGTAGGCAACAAACTACAGAGGGAAATATATAGGTAGGGCGTTTGCCTTGTGCGCAGCCAGCCTGGCTGAGCCAGGTTCGATTCCTCCGCCCCTCTCAGAGAGCCTGGCAAGCTATCGAGAATATTCAATATGCCAAACACAGTAACAAGAAGTCTCACAATGGAGATGTTACTGGGCCCGCTCGAGCAAATCAATGAACAACGGGAGGAGAGTGTTTAGTTTATATATATATAACTAAATTTATATATATATATATATATATATATATATATATATATATATAAAATCGGTCAAACTGGCAGGCTACCAAATGTAACATGCCCACACGGCAGAGTCTGGCAAACTCCCCGTGGTATACCCAATATGCCAAATACCAGTAACAATGATGGGTCTCATTCTCCTAACCCTGAAAAAGCCTTGAATATGGCACTTTAAAAAAAGAAAAAATCTCAGGGCTAGGACGAAGAAGACGTTACTGGCACCTGCTCGAGGCAATCGACAAACAACAGGGTGGTCGTGATGGTCGTGATATATATATCTCAGAAAGCCCAGAAGCTACTAAGAATATTCCACCTGCACGGCAGAGCCTGGCAAGCTCCCTGTGATGTATTCGATATGCCCAAAACAGTAACAATAATGGGTCTCATTACTCTGACCCTGAAAGAGCCTCCAATACAGCAGCATTGGGAAGGACGAGTAAGGAGAGGCTGCTAAAATCTCAGGGCTGGGACGAAAAGAGACGTTACTGGGGCCTGCTTGAGTAAATTGATGAATAGGATGACAGTGATACAGTGACAGACTTCAGATTTTACAGGGGGGGAGTGAGAACCTCCTGTGTTTATAACAGAGACACTGGGGGTCAGAGAAATACAGTGCATAGGGAAAAGTGCTTGTGTTACATGAGCCTGACCTGGGTTCAAACCCTAGCACCCTATATGGTTCCCTGAACACTACCAGGAGAGAGTCCTAAGCTCTAAGCCAGGAATTATGAGCACTGTCAGTGTCGCCCACAAACAAAAATGGTAACAATAATAGAGAAATGTTAGCATCTACTTAATTTTATGATAATGAAGGGTAGGCTACTTCATTTATTTATTTACTGGGAGAGGGAGATTGGGTCAAACTCAGTGGTGCTCAGATCTGATTCCTGGTCTATGCTCAGGACTTACTCCTGCTGGTGCTTGGAGGATCATATGTGGAACTAAGGGGTAAGGCCCACAAGCCAGACAGGTGACTTAACCCCTGCACTATGATAATAAGGAACGCGTTAAATAGAAAAATTATATAGCTATAGAGACACTTCTTCAAGTAACAAAAAAATGGAAAAATGCTTAGGAAAATAAAAACAATGCAAGATAAGAAAACGCAAAGATGAATTCAATTTTACAAAACTAAATGATACAACTGTTTATCATTTTAGAATTAAAGATTGCAAGGCACGCAACAGAATTTTAAGTTAGCCACACTGGTGTACAGTCTCTATACCTTTGAGTCTAGCCTATCTATGAGAATAAGAAAAATATAATTCACTAAGTTTGGGAATCGGGCTGGAGCTATAGCACAGCGGTAGGGCATTTGCCTTGCGCACAGCCAGCCCAGCTGAGCCGGGTTTGATTCCTCTGCCCCTCTCGGAGAGCCCGGCAAGTTACCGAGAGTATCTCGCCTGCACGGCAAAGCCTGGCAAGCTACCCATGACGTATTCAATATGCCAAACACAGGAACAACAAGTCTCAAAATGGAGACGTTACTCGGCCCGCTCAAGCAAATCAATGAACAACAGGAGGACAGTGACAGTGACAGGTTTGGGAATCATTCATGTTTGATGAACTTGTATAGGACATGATCTTCATGGAGAACCATGAAACCACCTCTGCCTTCAAGGAATCTAGTCTCACCTCTGAGGAGCTCTCAGCATCCTTCAATTCTCTCTGCATCAGACAACATTTCATTCCCTATCAGCAATATTCTACTGGGACCTCAGGAGTATTGCTGACCGAGGTAGGAGGTCAAATAAAATACCAGTAACCTCATACATCAGGGCTAAAAATAGTATCAGTTGTACTGTTAAAAGTTTATATAGCCTTATTAAAGACATCACAGGAAAAAACCCAGGCTTTGATTCAAATGTGTTCAACTTGGTTCTTTTTCTACTGGGCCCACTGAATATCTGTCATCAAATATCAACAAAGTAAAGAACTGGTGGGGAAAGGGGGAAAGGAGATTTTTCTCGTGACATAAAAGATGTGAATTTGAGCTTGACAGGAGCAGCAATGAATATCCTAGTCATTTTGTGGAGTCAGTAAGGAGCAGCAATGAATATCCTAGTCATTTTGTGGAGTCAGTAAGATGCAAGAGGGGTAGTCTCAGAAGGATTATTTGTGACAGGGTAAAGAAGTGTCCACTTACTAACAGACTACCCACAGTGTCTAAGGGTGGGCGTGCAGCCACAGCACAAAAAAGCTCACTTCCTGTTTAGTGGGAATGCTCCTAATGTCCAGGTGGTCTTCAGCAAGAAACCCCCAGGTCTGAAATTCTTCCCTGGCTTAATTCACATTTAGAAAACATTTTCTATAGGAAGTCTATTTGGGACAGACTTACTAAGTGTTATTACGAGCTCCTAACATAGTTCAGAACTTGTAACAAAAGTAAAGAAATAACTGGCCAACCTTGGTGCCTAACCAAATAAAAGGACCAAATGGGCTGAAAATTGTTTTTTGTTTGTCTGTTTGTTTGAAGGCCTCCCCAGCAGTGCCACCAGGGGTATACTGATGGTGCTCAGGGGTGATGCTGCTGGGGCTCAAACCCAGTGACCAGACAGGCATGTGCTTCATCCAGCTATCCCTCCAGCTTCCCATGGACTTTGGGAGCCATTGTTGGGAAGAAGAAAAATCTTTGTGCAAAGCTTTTGTCATATGTAAGTCATCATAGCCAACTGTGATGGTAAATAAGATGCTAACTCTCTTAACCCTACAGAAAATGACCCATTTGCACATGTATCATCCCCCAGCCACCCTTGGGAATTTGGAGAGAGCTAATCCTGCACTCCTGCTAGCTCCCTCCCTCTCCAGCATGGAGAGAAGGAACAGGAAGGAAACGGGACTGTGGAGAGTACCTGTGTGGAAGAACGGCCACCAGCCACAGGACTGACTTACCCGGTCCCAGCTGAAGCACAGGCCAAGCCGATCCAGCTGCTTCCTCATGTGTTCAATATTGCTGCGAAACAAAAGGAAGAAAAGGGGGTTTCTTAAGCAGGGAAGCTCATCAAAACCAATATTTTGAGATTGTGAAGGAAAATTCAAGGGGTTACTAACTGCTCAAGGAAAGTGGGTGCTCAGGGGAGAAAAGGTTGTAAATCACCAAAAATGATTCCAGCGTTTTATGTGATTTGCTTTGCTTCGGGGGGGAGGGGGGAGGGGGTGTGAAGATCAACGATCCATAATGATCATTGACCAGTAATGATCAATGAAAATATCAGCCCTTTATATTAATACCTAGTCTTTGGATTCATATAGACACCACTGAAATATGACACCAGTTAGGAAATATGGACAGTCCTGGCCCTTCCATGCTTGAAATCTGTACAAGCATAAGAAGAGGAAATCCTTGGGGATGGAGCCATAGTACATACAACAGGTAGGACATACGCCTTTCACACAGATGACCCAGGTTCGATCTCCAGCATCCCATATTGTCCACAAGCTGCCAGGAGGGATCCCTCAGGTCAAAGCCAGGAGTAAGCCCTGATCATAAATGGGTATTGTAAATAATAATAATAATAATATATATATATTTAATGTACAAATTGTGGGAAGCTATACAGTGCTTTGTCCATTAAAATCTAAAACCTCAGGGCCCAGCAAGAGCCCCAGGGGAGCACCCATGTCCTGGAGGTTGGAGACTGAGAGTTGGACCCTGGCACCACCACTGTTTCAAATCCCAGCACCCCACCCACAGTGTGTCGTGTCCGGCACACCACGTCCAGGTGAGCCCTGTGACCAGATGTTGGCAACGTCCACTCACCACAAAAAAAAAAAGAAGAAAAAGAAGAAGAAGAAGAAGAAGAAGAAGAAGAAGAAGAAGAAGAAGAAGAAGAAGAAGAAGAAGAAAGGGGGGGCAGGGAGTCTAGAATTTTTCAACAAGAGAAAGAGAAGTGAATTAATCAACTTTAATAAAGTAAAAATGGAGATAGGCAAATTTTTCTCCTTTTTAAAATTTTATTCTTTTTGGGTCTGGTCCCAGGAGTTTTCCAAGAACTCCCATTTCTCAATGTGGTCTGGAAGTTCACTCACACCCCCCCCACCCCTGCCACCCCCCTCCACTTGCCTGCACCCCTGACACTCTTTCCCCACCCCCCACCCCCCAGGGCAGTCCTGGCTGCTCAGCACTCCAGGGGCAGCTGATTCAGCTCATCTACATCCGGGGACCCATGTCCTTTCTTGCCAGGCCCTTTTCCAAATCCACATTGGAATCGGGGGGAATATGGGTCCTGGGGAACATCCTGGTGACCGAACCTACCATCCACTATAGACTATCTTCTGCTTACAATGCTTGTAATCCAGGAACGGACAAACTTGTAAGAAATTTCGAACTTAGCTATGATTGCTTTTTCTTCATTCTTTCCTTTTGTTCCTTTCCTGCTTTCCTTCCCTTTTGCTGTTGCTTTTTTCGGAGAGCCCGGCAAGCTACCGAGAGTATTCAATATGCCAGACACAGTAACAACAAAGTCTCCAATGGAGACGTTACTGGGCCCGCTCGAGCAAATCGACGATCAACGGGAGGGCCTTTACCTTTACCTTTGCTGTTGCTTTTTTAACCACAGGAGTCATATACTTGGTTGTGGCTCTCAGACACAAGCTTATGGTGCATGGAGATCACACACTTTCTAGTGGCACATCCCCGAGATCCAGGCTTTTTTTTTTTCTTACAAGAAAAAAGGACTAATTAATTTCTACCGCAATCTAAGTTCAAGCTGGCTGAAAATACAGAAGGTAAGAAAAATTTTTCTAGGTGAGTGGTGATTAGTTAATAATAACCTATTTCATTCCAAGCCTCTGCTAAGCATTTTGCAGAAAACTACTTGCTATAGATGGAATCTTTACCTCCTCCTCATCACTCATGCACTGAAACCCACGAGGAATATGGCTTAAGTGGCAGAGCAAGGTGCTGGGTTCTATCCCCAGCAACACACAACAGGCACCTGACAGGGAGTTGCTCCTCATATAGTAAGCTATGGTGTTTGCCAAGGTCCCACACTTTTTCAGCTGCCGAACAATTTGGTTGCAGAGCACTAGTGATCATATACTTTGTTGGACAAAGTGTGGGCATATGGGCATTTCTAGAAGTCAAATTCCGAGCCTCAAAGTCTCAGACCTGTAAGCAGACACTCTACCACTGTCTTCTCATGGGGACTGTAGACTTCTACAAGCCTCTTTTACAGCTAAGCAAATTGAGTCAGAAGTTTACTTAACTTCTGTGTTTAAGTAGTTTAAGTAATCTGGTATGGGTGACTAGTTAACAAGAGGGAAAGGCAGGATTTATATCAACAGGCCTGGGTCCAGTGTGATAGTACAATCATTATAGCATTTGCCTTGCAAGTGGCTGACCCAGATTCAATCCCTAGGACACCCTGAGTGCCGAACTAGGAGTAATCTCTGAACACTGGTGGGTATGTTCCCAAAAAAAAACAAAATAAGCACCCCAATTCCGGGGCCATTTCTTTTTAAACTGCTAGACTTTAATGGAAGATTTGGCAAACTTTCTGTAAAAGACTAGATGACAATTCTAGTTTTCATATCTGGAGCTATATGGTTTCCATCACAAGCATACAAATCTGTCATTCTATTATGAAAGAAGTTGTGCATAGTATGTAAACAGTGGATATAAACATGTTCTAATAAAACTTTATTCGTAAAAATCAGTAACGGTCAAATCTAGCCCATTGGCTATCATTAACCTGCCAACCCAAGATCTAGCTTACATCAAATCTATGCCATATTTGATTCATTTTATTTGAATCATTTCTTCCTTTCTTTCTTTAAAAAAAAAAAAAATCACTTCCATTAGTCTAGAATTGACCAGAACTGAGAAAGAGGGAATGACGAGTCAGGAAGAAAGCAGAGAGAAGCAGCTGGTCCAGTGGTTGTTTTTACAACGTAGCCAAGGCAAGATAGAGCCCAGGGACAGGAAGAACTCTGGGAACAGGCTCTAGAATTACCCTTCTACATCTCTTATGGACCAGGAAGGGACAAGACCCAGACCTTTATGACAGGGGCTGAGGTAGTGAGGGAGAAAAGTACATTTTCCCAGGTTTTTGGAAGAGGCTTTCAGCACTTTATCCAGAGAGAGGAACAGGAATCTGTACCACTGGCCAGCAGGCCCAGAGAAGCCAGGGGCACAGGGCTCAAAGTGTGTCTCCTTGAAAAATTCAGACCCAGAATAAATTAGCCATATATTTCTGCACTGAATGTGGAAGTTCCTCTAGTCATGAGTAGAATTTGGATATAGCTCATGTTATGTCAAGAAAATGAGACGAACAGTAGCCACTCAACACATGAAATTCTCTCTATCTCCTTATCCTCCCTAATACTGATACTCTGTGAAAGAATGATTTTGTAAAGAACCAAACATCAAAACAAACACTTAAAGGACTATCCAAAGGCCTTTTTTTGATTTCTTGGATAAGAACAGAGAATGCTGAAGGGGGGAGGGATGGGCGAGGGGGCTGGGGTGATAGTACAACAGGTAGGGCTTTTGTCTCGCAGGAGTAAGCCCTGGGCACCACCGGGTATGGCCCCCAATAACCAAAAAGCAAAACAGAGTGCTAAAAGACAAACTCCACTATAGACAATCTTACCCATTGCTTGGCAGACTATGTTTTGTTTACTCTGCTCTCTATTTCCCATGCACAGGCTAAAAAACCTTTTTAGAGGTTTCTGTGTACAGTGTTTGAATGTGCCTGCAAATACATACCTTTGTGTCCAACTTTCTGGATGGAGGTCCCTCTCAATGGCGGCGTTTTCAGCGGGCAGCCCAAATGCATCCCATCCCATGGGGTTGATAACCTGGAACCCAGAAGACAGTCGTCAGCCAGAACAGTATGCAGCCTCCTTCGGCATGCTCTCCTGGGCAATACGCAGGTTACACCCCCTAATCCACGCTGGCTTATCCCTTTCTGGGTGATCTGGATGATTTCAAACCATGCTTTAGAAAATCAGCTAGCTGCCTAAGTCACAGCACAGAAGAAAACCAAGAAGTTTTCTATTTTTTATTTATTTTTAATTCATTTTATTTTTTATAAAGTAGTTCACAATATTTGATTCCATTTAATATTACAACACCAATTCCACTACCATTACACCTTCCCACCACTATATATTTGGATGTTTTCATCCTGGATCCCAACCCCTGCCTCAAAGCAGAACCGAAATCATTTATTTGGCATTGTTTGTTATGAATAAGCTGCTGAAAGGTAAAGGTAAGGTAAAGGCCCTCCCGTTGATCGTCGATTTGCTCGAGCGGGCCCAGTAACGTCTCCATTGGAAACTTTGTTGTTACTGTGTCTGGCATATCGAATACGTCACGTCATGGGTAGCTTGCCAGGCTCTGCCAAGCGGGCGAGATACTCTCGGTAGCTTGCCGGGCTCTCCGAGAGGGGCGGAGGAATCGAACTCGGGTCGGCCATGTTGGCCGCTTGTAAGGCGAACACCCTACCCGCTGTGCTATCGCTCCAGCCCAAGCTGCTGAAAATGCTCCAAAATAGTTTTCTTAGTGGAAAGTATGTGAAGATTGTTGTGTTTTACCCAGAGGCCATTAATCTCTATAAGAGATTACTAACATGTTGTTAAATGTTGAGCCTTGTGTGCTTATATATATGTGTGTGTGTGTGTGAAAATATATACACAGACATATATATATATATATATATATATATATATTCCCTCTAAGATTGGTTGCCTTGAGAAGGTTTCTACACCAAGACAACAAGAAAAATTCTGAGTAGGTGTTTTTGTGATGCTTTGCAGGTACTTTTTCCCTTTCTCTTATCTGCATGTCTGCAATTAATCCAAAAAAATTTTTTTTCAAATCATGTACAAGTTTTTTAATTAAAAAATGTGTGTAGGGGTTGGAGCAATAACACAGCAGGTAGGGCGTTTGCTTTGCACGTAGCCAACCTAGGTTCAATTCCCAGCATCCTATATGGTGCCCTGAGCACCGCCAGGAGTAATTCCTGAGTGCATGAACCAGGAGTAACTCCTGTGCATTGCCAGGCGTGACCCAAAAAGCAAAAAAAAAAAAAAAGTGTCTTTATGCATACATACATACACATACATAAGTATATATGTATATGTATGTTAGGACATACATATGTATATGTATGTCCTAACATACATATACATATATACGTACGTATATGTATGTATAAAGAGAGCTGGTGAGGTAGTAAAGGGGTGATCTCAGCTTTAATCCCCAGTAACACATAAGGTCCCCTGAGCAAAGAAGCAAGAGTAAGTCCTAAGTGTTGCTGGATGTACCGCCCTCCCCCTCAGTGAATGACTAAAATGTACATCTAAAATGCTCACCCTGTGCTAGTATTTTTCCCGTTATGGGGCAATGCTGTCTAATCCAGTAGCCTCTAGCTACATATGGTTACAAAGTCCCCCACAAGCCAAAAGTAAAAAAGCTCCCACTGGAGTACGATTGGTAGATTCTTTGTGAGGTCTGGGAATGCTACCATCATCATCAATTTATATGGAAAATCCATTCACAGGCCCAAAATAACCTGCCAAATGGAACCAAAATAGGAGTGTTCTACTTTCAGATAGTGGGGAGACACATATATAAAATTAAACAAAATAATGACAATGAAATCAAATGGAAAAAGTCCATTCCTTTGTCTCACTCACCACCTCTTAAGTGGCCAGGAGCTACTGAACCAGAGAGAAGAGAGAACATTCCCAGCACAGCAGGAGATTCTGCTGGGCAGCACAGCACTGGACCCACTCAACAGCTGATGGCTACACAGGTGCTCGGTAATCCCAACTCTGTACCCATCTATAGCTGGGGGGGGGGGCTCAGTTCACCCCATGGCCCAGGGTGCTCTCTTTCCCACTAATTTGCCTGAAGCCAGCACGTACACACACACACACACACACACACACACACACACACACACACACACACACACACACATCCTAGGTACATATCCCTGGGACCCCTACTTGGCCTGGCATGTATCCTGGGGCCCACAGACCCTCTGCTCTTCTCCCTTCTTCCTTCCAGAATGTAAGCAGCACTTTCCTTCCTTCCTGATGCCCACCCTCCCTCCCTACGGCAAGCAAGTCAATTCTAGAGAAACTAACCAGAAATGAACACAAAAGTTAATTATGCGTATGTTATGTTTTATTGGGAGGGGGATGGTTTTGTTTGCTTATGGCCACACCCAGCTGTTCTCATGACTTACTCCTGCCTAGGAGGGCCTTATGGAGTGCCAGGAACCAAATCTGGTTCAGCTGCATACAAGGCAAGCACTCTGCACCTGCACGCTGTACTATATCTCTGTCCCAGCATGTATACATGTGTATGTGAGTATACAGAACAGAAAGGTATGTCTTTTTTTTTTTTTTTAAATTCTGGAACTGGGAATGTGGCTTAAGTGTTGCAGCACATGGCTTGCGTGAGTAAGGCCTCAGGTTCACTCCATCCAGATCACCCGAAAGGCCCCACAATCCCAAGCACTATCAGGTATAGCCCCTGTGAAAGAAAATTCCATGGCTCCATTATGCCGTTTCCTGGGTACATCTATCCTGGGTCATTTTAGGAACCTACGTGGCTGAACTCAGTCAGCTGACTTTTCGGACCAGAGGTCCTTTCCTCATGCTGACTGTGGCTCACCCAGCATCCTTCCCCTCCTCACACCATCCTCTGTCTTCTGGGCTCTGCCCTGCCTTCCCCTGGAGCAATATCTGAGAGAGGGAAGCAGAAGCAGACCTGGACAGAGAGTGGGGACTCCGGTCCGTTTCCAGGACCTGGACCCGATTCCCCATGGGCCAGCTTCCTGCTTGTCCTTTCTTTCATCCAGAGAGTTACACCCGGACAGGCAACAAGAGACAAAACCTGCAGCTGGCCTGGTTAGCTAAGAATCCTGCCTCCAACAGGATTTTCCCTTTAGGATACGGTTTTCTCCTGAGTGTTATTTAATCCATAGATTTAAAAACCATTCCTTTATACTATTATGTTTCGCGATTTCCCCCTCCCCCTCTTTTCCTTTTTAATTTCCAAGAGCTAAAATAAATCCAATATTGGGGCTCTCTGCTGGGTTATAGAGTTCACAAAGCTTCCAGCTGCGCTCAAACTCCCCCAGGGCGGCTCCATTGGCAGAGGAATGAAATTGTTGTATAACTGTTGCAGGAAAACTTAATTACCATTTGGTTCCTCTGTGGGAACTGCCAAAATGGCACCAGTTCAATGTTTCTGCCTATTAACATTCTGTTAAGTACCATCCATATTTTTAAATAAAGTCAATACAGCCATGGTTGTGCAAAAAAAATAAAAACCAGTCTGGATTTACATAATATTCTTATTCACGTCTATTTTCGTCTTCAGATGAAATGAACATGAAGAGATATTCTTAGCTCACATGTTACCCAAGCTGTCTATGAAGATTAAGTTTGAAAACTCTTGAAGCTTCTTAATATTTCATGTTCTCACCAAAATTTAAAAAGGAAAGAAAAAGGTCATGGGCCAGGGAGAGAGTGCAGGGATTTAAGTGCTTGCTTTGAGTCTCACCAACCCAGGTTGAATCCCCAACAACACAGTTGGTCCCAAGAGTAAGGGTCACTCTGCGCAGCTCTGGGTGTAGTACAACAATACCACTCCTTCTCAAAGAAAAACTTCTGTTCCAGAATATAGACTGTGGCAAGAACTGTTTGCCTGTTGCGGTCTTTCCATCACAGGCCGGATCACTGAGACATTCCTGCGAGTCACGTTTCTAAGAAATGGTTTCTAGAGACCCAGCACAGAATCCACAGTGCTGTAAGATGATTCAACACCCACTATGGGCTGGAGAGATAGTATGGTCAACTACGCATGCAGAGTTGACCTGGCTTTGATTCCCCAGCATCACATTTGGTCCCTGAGCACTGACAGGATAAATTCTAAGTGCAGAGTCAGGAGTAGCCCCTGATCATCACTGGGTCTGGTTCAGAGATGATTCACCACCAGAGAACAATGTGAGGACCAGCAGCAGGATTCCCTAACACAAAAGCTGGTCTCTCGCACCTGGCCTGATGATGTGGAGCCACAAGAGAAGGATTCCCGTGGCAGCCTCCTGCACCTCTTGGTCTCTTCCAATTGTGCAGATCAGACACCATCAGAGTAGGTACCACAAAAGCTTTGTTTGGGGGGCAGTTTTTTGTTTGGGGCCAAACCTGGTGGTGCTCAGGGCTTAATCTTGGTTATGCATTCAGGAATCACCACTGGTGATTGTGATGGCACTCCCTAGGGGACCATACAGGAGTTCCAAGGATCGAATCTGGGAGGGTCATATGCAAGGCAAGTACCCTATCCCCTATACTATCGCTGCAGCCCCACTCCACAAAGCTTTCACTAGGAGAATTCCCAACTCTCAGTTCCATTTCTGAAATTCTTACCTACCCTTTCCTGTCAACACCATGACTTGATTTAATTCTTCCAGAGTGCCACAAAACTGTAACCAGAACTCAGATGTACCAAGTAAACAATTAATTGCTTTTTTTTTTTAAAGATATTATGCTAGGGCCATGGAAACCCTCTCCAATATCTAGGAGTCAACCTTTGTTTAGACAGGGGCACTGTCACCTCAAAGGGAATCAAGGAAAAGGATCAGGCAGAAAACACAAGTAACAAAGCACATTTCTGGCATGCACAAGGCCCTGAGTTTGATCACTGGTACCATATGACCTGAGAGCACCACCAGATATAGATGTGCTGGCCCCAGAGCACTGCCAGGTATAAACCTGGCAGCCCCTGGGCACTGCTTGACCAGAACACAAACCTCCAGAACTACAGTGCCAGGCTAAGCAAC